GGAGGAGGAAGGGGCTCAGAGGAGGAGAAGGAGGAAGGGGCTCAGAGGAGGAGGAGGAGGAAGAGGCTGGGAGGAGAAGGAAGAGGAGGGGGAAGGGGCTCAGAGGAGGAGGAGGAAGGGGCTTTGAGGAGGAGAAGGAAGGGACTCTCCCAGCTGGCATTGGGCATGTGGCTTGCGTGGCACGGAGCTCGTGCTGTGGCCCTGTGGCCGCTGGCTGAGCTCCCAGAGGCTAATTCCTTTTTGGTAGGAGAATAAGGAGGGGTAGAATCCAGCCTTCAATTACTTGCTGTTCTTTGCTCTCTCCAAAGCTGCCTCACAGCTTCCTGAGCTGCCTGGAGCAGTTTTGAGCCCATCTCAGTGTGAAGAGCTTTCCCTTTTCTCCTTTCACTCCACTGCCCTCGGAGAGAAGCCAGCAGGAGGAGGTTAGAGTGAAATCCTGCTGTAAAGACAGATCAAACCTTGTGCTGGGGATGAACTCAGCTCCCAGGGATCCTTCCCAGTGCTCCTGCTGACCTCTGTGTTCTCTGGGGTTGGTTGTTGCCCTGAAGTTTGCAGGAGGAGGAGGTTTTTTGGGGGGGAATGGCTGGATGGGATCCCTCCCAGCCCTGTGAGGCTGTTCCCTGCGTGGGGAGGTGGCTGGAGAGAGCTCCTGCCACCTCTGCCTTTGTGCCTCGTGACCCCAGGAATGAGCAGCTCTGGCACAGCTTGAGCTGACCAAATCCTCCAGATTTTTAACACCACTCAGCCACTTCAGTTCTAAGGGAGGTGCAGAGCCTTTCCTGGCCGTGTTGCTTCCCTTCTCCATCCTTGCAAAACCCTCTTGCTCCTTAAAGTGGTGATTCATCTACCAGTCCTGGTGGTTTGGAGCTTGCTTTTCCCTGGATCTACCTTTTTCCATGGCATCAGAAGTGTTGTTACCTTGTGTGGGAGATACTTGGAGGCAAAGAGGTCTCACCCCTGGCAGGTTTGACTTCTCAGTGACTCCAAATCAGCAGGATATACTGGGAAGCTCCTGGGGCTTATAAAAAGGAGGGAGAAGGATTTTTTTCATGCAGGCAGATAGTGACAGGACAAAGGGGAGTGGGTTTGAAGTGGAAAAGGGCAGGGTTTGATGGGATATTGGGAAGGAATTGTTTCCTGTGAGGTGCTGAGGCACTGGCACAAGTTACCCAGAGAAGTTGTGGCTGCTCCATCCTTGGGAATGTTCCAGGCTAGGTTGGATGGGGCTTGGAACAACCTAGGCTAGTGAGTAGCATCCCTGCCCATGGCAGAGGGGTGGAATGAGATGATCTTTAAGGTTCCTTCCCACCCAAACCATTCCATGCTCCCCTATAAACTCAACTTTGTGGAGAACTTCACTTCCCTAGTGCCAACGTTTCCCTTCCAGATCAGCAGCACTTCCACCCTCACGTCTCCTTTATCTCCAGCATTGCTTTGTTTTCCCTCAAAGGTCTCCCACCAACACCTGTCCAGCTGCTGTATCCAGTCTCCAGGTTCAGCAACGTCAAATCCCTTCAGCACCTTTGCCGCTTTCGGATCAGGCAGCTGGTCCGGATCGACCACATTCCCGAGCTCCCACTGCCCAAGTGAGTCCTGGGGGTGAATCCCTCCCTGCCCTCACCTCCCAGGCAGGGATGAGGGCTCTGAGAGGGAATAGTTGACTTTTCCAGGCTTGGGACAGCAGGAAAATATTCCATGGGGTATAGGGATCCATGTGGGAATGCTGAGTGGCTCAGGAATGAGGTGTCACTGCCATGGAATTGTTGACTTTTCCAGGCTTGGGATAGCAGGAAAATATCCCATGGTGTGTAGGGATACATGTGGGCATGGAATAGTTGACTTTTCCAGGTTTGGGACAGCAGGAAAATATCCCATGGGGTATAGGGATCCATGTGGGAATGCTGAGTGGCTCCGGAATGAGGTGTCACTGCCATGGAATAGGTGACTTTTCCAGGCTTGGGATAGCAGGAAAATATCCCATGGGGTGTAGGGATCCATGTGGGAATGCTGAGTGGCTCAGGAATGAGGAGTCACTGCCATGCCATAGCTTTGGGATGCAAACTCCTGCTCCTGGGGAGGTGACAGTGCTGGGTGGGCTGGGCTGAGGGGCTGGGTGTCCCTTGTGGAGGGGTTGGAGTGGTTGTAGCTCAAGGATCAAGCTCTTCCCAATCCTTCCCAGGCCCCTGATTTCCTACATCCGCAAGTTCTACTACTACGACCCGCAGGAGGAGGTGTACCTGTCCCTCAAGGAGGCTCAGCTCATCTCCAGACAGACGCAGGAGCCAGAATCCTCCACGTAGCAGGGCTGCCCTGGCTGTGCTGCTGTCACTCATGGTATGGGCCCCAAATCCTGCTATTCCCATGGATTGTGTCGTGGTTTAACCCCAGCAG